AGTTGATGAGCAGGTTGGATTGTCAAGAGAGGATCAGAGATTTCTGGAAATAGTGACTAACTCTGCCAAATATGTGGGTGGTCATATCCAGATAGCATTACCTTTTCGGAATGCCAGTATCAGTATGCCAAACAATAAGAAAGTTGTTCAACAACATCTGTGCTTTCTAAAAAAGAGATTTGAGAGAGACACAGTGTTTCATACTGAGTACAAAGTCTTCATGAATGAGCTTCTGGCTAAAGGTTATGCTGAAAAGGTCCCGGAAGAGGAGATCAATCGCAATGATGGCAAGCTGTGGTATATACCACACCATGGTGTTTACCATCCGACCAAGAAGAAACTCAGAGTTGTGTTTGACTGTGGAATGAGTTATCAGGGAACATCTTTAAACTCCCAACTCTTACAAGCTCTTTAATAGGAGTGATCACAAGATTCAGGAAGGAGCCAGTTGTAATTATGGGAGATATTGAATCCATGTTCCATCAAGTCATGATTCCAGCTGAAGATAAAGATCTATTGAGATTTCTCTGGTGGCCTAAAGGTGATCTGGAACAACCAACATCTGAATACAGGATGAATGTACATCTGTTCGGGGCAACTTCGTCACCAAGTTGTGCCAACTTTGCACTCAGAAAGTGTGCGGATGACTTTGGACATCTCTACAGTGAGGAAGCTGTGAAGAAGTTGTTGCACTGTTTTTATGTGGACGATTGTCTTGTGTCCATTGAAACTGATGAGGAAGCAGTGTTAATGTACCACGAGTTGGTTTCTTTGTGTGCCAAAGGAGGATTTCTGCTCAAAAAGTGGATCACCAACAGACAGGGAACAGTTGGACATTTAACTTGCCGTCACCCCGATGCCCTTGACTCTGTTCTGAACTGGCCCTGCCCAGCACATCATCACCGCACCACTGCGTACCAAGACACCGAGATGACATGCAACATGTCCCCTGACTCCGAGAGAGGAGGAGAGTCATCATTTATTCTTTCACTCGCCTGCTGGAATCAATTCCTGAAAGTCACAGAGCCATAGGAATGAAAGAGTTGAACATGGAATTGGATTCCTCAATGACCGAGCGAGTTTTGGGCGTGGAATGGTGTATAAAATCAGACTCTTTTAAATTCAAGATTGTGCTCAAGGACAGACCGCTCACCAGAAGAGGAATCCTTTCAATTGTCAGTTCTATCTATGATCCTCTTGGAATGCTAAGTCCTGTGGTCTTAACTGCTAAGAAAATCCTAAGAGATCTATGCCAGGAAGGAATCGGCTGGGACAATAATGTAACCGAGCTGTTTTCCAAAAGATGGTTAACATGGCTCCAGCAGCTCCAGCTATTGAGCAAGTTTGAAGTGAGTCGTTGTTTGAAACCTGATGGATTTGGAGAAATCACGAGTGCTCAGTTGCACCATTTCTGTGATGCCAGTGAGGATGGGTATGGAACAGTGACCTATCTGCTGATTGAAACATCTGTTCAGAACGACACTGTGCGTTTGTTATGGGAAAAGCGCGTGTCGCTCCTCTTAAATCCTTTACCATCCCGAGAATGGAGCTCATTGCAGCAACCATGGCCAGTCGATTGGATGTACTCTGGAGGAAAGAGCTGCAGATGGAACTTCTGGATTCTGTGTTTTGGACAGACAGTGCTTCTGTTCTTAAATACATCAGGAGTGAAACTTCAAGATTCAAGGTTTTTGTGGCCAACAGAGTTTCACAAATCTTAAGAGTTTCATCTTCCTCGCAATGGAGATATGTGGACACTGCCAGTAATCCAGCAGATATGGCCTCAAGAGGAGTGAAAGTCGATGTTTTTATGAAGAATACAAAGTGGTTGTCTGGGCCTCAGTATCTTCTACAATCTAGGAGTGAATGGCCTGTCTACCCAGATGACATCAGTCTGCTTGCATCTGATGATCCTGAGGTAAAAACAGTTGCCACAGTGAGTGTTGAGCAAGCTGGCGAAAATTCTGTTACTCGCTTGTTTAAACATTTTTCCACCTGGACACGTCTTAAGAAGTCAGTGGCATGGCTGTTAAAATTTAAGGACTTGCTTCTGTCCTTTGCGAAGAAAAGGAGAGAATTGTGTTCAAGCTTACCACAGTCAGAGGTCACCAAAGAGCAACAGAAATCATTTGTGGAAGAAAAGCTGAGGAACTTCAAGAGGACATCTGTGATTAAGAATCTTACAGTGGAAGATCTGGACAAAGCTGAGGTTGTCATTATCAAGTTCTGTCAGAGGAGGAGATTTTCCTTGGAGCTTGTGAGTCTGGAGAAGGGACAACCCATTATAAAATCAAGTCCTCTAAGAAGACTCTGCCCACAGCTGCAAGATGGAATTCTCAGAGTGGGTGTGAGACTCAGTAGATCATCGATGCCGGTTGAGGTGAAACATCCCATAATACTAGCAAAGGATCAACACATTTCCGAGCTCTTGCTTAGACACATACATCAGGAAGTTGGACATGGTGGTCGTAACCACATGCTGTCTAAGCTAAGAGAAAAGTACTGGTTGATTGGAGCTAGTACAGCAATAAGAAAAGTGTTATCTAAATGTGTCATCTGTCGACGTCTTAATGCTGCACCAGTGAATCAACAGATGGTGGATTTGCCCAATGAAAGAATCATTCCAGATGAACCTCCATTCACGCGGGTGGGAGTGGATTACTTCGGACCCTTCAGTGTAAAAAGTAGGAGGAGCGTGGTGAAGAGATATGGTGTTATATTCACCTGCCTTGCTATCCGTGCTGTTCACATTGAGGTTGCTCCATCACTGGATACTGACTCTTTCATTAATGCGTTCAGACGTTTCAATGCAAGAAGAGGTCAGGTTCGAGAACTGCGTTCTGACAACGGAACCAATTTTATAGGCGCTGAATGTGAACTTAGAACTGCCATTGAACATTGGAACCATGTAAAAGTCAATGACGTCTTTCTGCAAAAGGGAGTTAAATGGTCCTTTAATCCACCTGGAGGTTCACATCACGGAGGAACCTGGGAGTGACTGATAAGACTGGTTCGCAAAGTACTTAATTCCATAATGAAAGTACAAAACCTGGATGAAGAAGGTCTTCATACAGTACTTTGTGAGGTTGAAGCCATCATTAACAGCCGCCCAATTACCAAAGCCTCAATGGATCCTAACGACCTGGAAGCTTTGACCCCTAATCATCTTCTTCTGTTAAAGACCTCACCGATATTACCACCAGGAGTATTCCATTCCACTGATATGTACACACACAGAAGATGGAAACAAGTCCAATACATGTCTGACTTGTTTTGGAAAAGATGGGTGAAGGAATACCTACTACAGGAACGTCAGCGATGGATTGGAGTAAAAAGGAACCTCATCGTGGGAGATCTGGTTCTCATCATGGACAGTTCGGCACCTCGAAACTCTTGGCCAATGGGACGTGTGATAAAGACCTTTCCTGACCGAAGAGGATTCGTTCGTCAAGTTCGGATTAAAACTCAGACTAGTTGCCTGGATCGACCTATTACCAAACTGTGTCTACTGCTGGAGGCAGATCACAGTTAAAGACTTCTGGGTCCAATTATCAGACTTTGATTGTATTTGGACATACAATGTCTCTCATTTTTCTTTAAAGATAGACTTTAAGATTACCTATAGGATTCCTGTGGGTAATATTGAAATACAGTAAATGCTTGACTTTTCTCTGCATGTTTTATGTCTCCTACTTGGTTAATTATGGGTAATTATTAGAAGGGATACTAATAATTAGGGGCTGGTGTGTAGGAGCCATAATTGAATGTATTGAATTTTGATGATCACTGGGTTTTTATTTGTTTGGTTGTTATGGGAGTCACGTGGGTGCTAGCGGTGACATAAATGGGCGTTGTCACTCTGTCATTCACGGGTTTTGATTTTGACAGAGAGGAGGGCTGGGTAGCCGTAGTTTTTGTTGACCGCTGCACTACATGTTTCGCTTCGTTATATTAGAGCCTGTGATGTTGTAAGAGTTTGAATCAGGAGCCGATGATACTACTCTGTAAACTCTCAAAGCACTTTAATTAAACGAGCAAACAATTCCATCTCTCGCATTATTGCGTAACTTTGACAGCGCGTCAGGCAAATAGGCAGGCTCCATCCCCGGCCTGTAGCGACTGTGGAAGTCGCTACAATGTTCTTTATTTATTTATCTGGTAAAAAGTCTCATTGACTTTAAAATGTCTTTTTCAAAAGAGATCTGGCCAAGACCAGAAGCTCCAGTTTTCTCTGCTTCTGTTTGCAGCAGAGCAAAAAGGACAGAGAGCAAGGGACGAGAGAAGACACGAGACAAAGACATGAACGGGACCAAATACTAACCAAGACAACCTAAACAACAAATACTGAATAAATTAAAGATTTATTAAAGTAAATCAGAATACTTTATTAATCCTGAAGGATTAATAAAGTATTCTGATTCTGATAACTAGGAAACATAAGATACACAGAGAACAGAATAATGATTAAACAAGACTCAAAAAACCAAACACAAAACACTGGGTCAACGGCCCAGGTACCCTAACAGCCGAGGGAAAAGATGACCTCCTATTCACATCAGTATGGTATATTTTACTCCCATATCACTACTCAAAGATCATATTTTATTGTTGTAGGTTGTGGAGGTGACACACACACAAGCTGTAGTTCAACAATGACTTCATTCCTCTATTGACCTATAAAGAGGTCTTGTTACATAAGATTAAAGCTGGAAACTGACACACATAAGCCCAAACACATTGTGTTATTGTGGACGTTGAAGTCACTGCATGTGTTTTTCATGAAGATTAAACTTTCCTGTGCTGTTGGTTCTTTGTTTAATTCTGTTGATTCTTACTTTTTTGTTCCTAAAGTTTAGTTTAAACTAAACCCAGTGTTCACATTTCCCCTGTCTCGTGTAGTCAATTAGGATCAGCTGTGTCTTTGCCATTCCATGTCTCCCCCTGTGTGTATTTATACTATGTGTCCTCGTGTGCTCCTCGCCGGTTCATCTGTGTTTTTCCTGCATCATTCTGTGTCGTCTCCCTGCATCTCCATTTTAGGTTTCAGTTCTGTGTTGTGTTAGTTTTTTCCAGTTTAGGTTTCACCTCCTGCTGGCCTCCTTCGCCCGTTCCTAGATGCCCCTGGTCTCATATCGCACTGGACTTCATCACTGGTCTCCCACCATCCTCAGGTAACAGTTATTCTGACCATCATCGATCGGTTCTCCAAAGCTGTGCATTTCATTGCTCTGCCTAAGCTCCCATCAGCTCTGAACACTTGCCAGATTCTTACACAGCATGTGTTCACGTTCTGGGTTTGGAGAGAGTTTTGCAAGGAACTAGGGGCTCAAGTCAGCTTACCATCCGGTTTCCATCTCAAACTAATGGGCAAATGGAACAGGCAAGCCACCTTGGCTTTCATACCTTGGCTCAGGCGATTAGAGGATCATCAGGGGTCCTTTTGTCCCTCTGTGGGGGGATACTCCCACTAGTTTTAAATCTGGGACTCCCCACCATTTGATCTTAGAACTGAAGAAGCTTCTCGGATGAGAGGTGATGAGAGGTGAAAAGTCTTGTTGAGACTAGTAGTTAAACATATGCCATTTTATGACCAGTAGTCAATGTAGTAAATTAGCTTAACAGCTGTAGGCCATATATTATCCTTTAGTTCTAATGGTGTGCTATGTATGTAGTTTAGTCTCTATTATACTCTTGAATAAAAGAAACATAATCATTTGTAGTTCATTAGACAAAGTGTGCATTACTCTGTATCCTTGATCAGCTGTGAATGTCTGACACTGTTTTCTTGAGATGTTTTATTGCTGAATCATGTGAAGAAGGCTGTAAGAGGGAGACTAGGTGTCTGGGCAGAAGAGATAAAACCACATTCCTTACCCCCCTTCCTGCTTCACACAGAAAGACAGGGAGGCAAGGTCAGGAGCCAGGCTCGCTAAGAATTAGAAAAACATGTGAAGATGCAGCTTTTATGACAAAGAGGGGGCTGTGACTAGCTATAAAAGTCTGTGAAAGTTGCTACCATTTTGAGACATGCTGTCGAACCTCTGCAGGCATCTCTCCCGTCCGGACGTTGTAATGCTCTGACTGTTGAATTGTATGGAAATAAATGATTGTTGATTGAGCATTTATACACCGAGTATTGTCCTTCCTTCAGCCCAAAGATTCAAAGAATTGGGAGATTTCAACAACTTGGTGCTGTGTGACCCGGATCTTTGGTGTGCTGAGGAAGTGGGGCGAGGCGAACGGAAGACCGGTCTAACAACAAAAAGGTAAGCACAGCCTGTTGTATTATACCAAATGTGCATATTGGGCTTTCCAAATTAATCTGTTCGCTGAGTCACATGTATTTTCACAGTAAATTTGTCGGTGTCCGGTTTTTGGCGCAAGATACTAACAACATAAGTTGAGGCTGAATTCCAGTGTGTTAAATAAACTGCTTCTACCGAGAAACTAATAAGATACTACGTTGAGCTAGTTGCAGTAAACTGCTTCTACCGAGAAACTAATAAGACACTACGTTGAGCTAGTTGCAGCCACTTTACCTTCCACATTTAATTTTGTCTAATACTGGCTTCTGTAGCAATAATACGTTAGAATTTCTTCTGAAGACGCGGCCATTAGTCCAGTACATTGAAGTTGAGGTTTGTTTATTTTGTTTATGGTGTCAGTGACGTCCTGGCTTTTGCCGGCTATGAAATAGAAGTTGATTTAAGGAAAAGCAGATGCTGGCTTCACGGTGCAGTTGAACGCTGGCAACGCGAGAGCGAAACACGTCCGTAGGTTTGGTTTATGATACGGCCGTGTTCCGGTGGTGCGGCCGTGAAGTGCAGTAGTGGTTGGTGCTAGTTTTAATACATTGGATAGAGGTTTGACGGTGGTTTGTGGCGTCAGTCGAGTTTTAAGGGCTGCGGTCATAATACAAAGTAAAATTTTAAGTACATAGAGCAAAACCTGGTTTATGATGTCAGGTATAACTTCGGGGATGCAAGCATCACTTTTATGATGCGACTTTGCCCCGTTGTGGCGGTCATAAGCGCAGAGAAAGGGGTATTTTGGTCTATGGTGCAGTGTGCTTTAAGAAGATCTAATAGTTGAGCTCAGAGGTTTCTGTGTAAAATTCCCGCTGAGGAAAAGTGTTGTGTGTGTGTGAAGGCGCGCTCTGAGTGAGAGTGTGTGCGAAGCTGCGAAGCGCGCTCTGGGTGCTGTCTTGTGTGTAAAGCGCGCTCTAGGTGTTGTTTTGAGTGTGAGTGAGGCGCGCTCTGAGTGTGTTTTTTGTGTGAAGTGTGAAGCGTGAACACAGTGACAGTGACGGTTGATGTGTTTGATTAGGAGGACATTAGAGCAAAGACACATTTTAGGATCAAAGGTTGATGCCTAGTGTACCTGTGGAAATAATTTTGCCCTAGGAGTGGCGACCCTCCTGTTCGTGGACGCGCGGCCAGGACCGGCGGCGTCCGGGTGCCGAGGTGGTGACTTGGGGAGGTGAGGGCCCCGCATAGCTACGGAATAACACTGGGACCGCAGCGTAATCGCGGGTTCACATTTATTCCGGACTAGAACAAGACACATTTTGCGAACAAAGGTTGAGTCTAGATTAGTTAAGAAATAAAAAGGTTAAAATTCCTCGTTTCAGTGGTTAAAATTGTTGTGTGCCTGTCCCCTGACGAGTGTGAAATTAGAATAAAGAGGGAATTTGGAGCCACATAGAGATAGACGGGCATAATTGGGTGTATTACTCTGTGGTGTAAACATTTAAAAAGTATTATAAAAAAAAAAAGGAGAGAGAGGGTGAGAAGTGTGTGGTGGTGTGAATATGTCGGGTCTTAAATCTGACATAGAAAAAGGAGTGCTGCAGGGTGAGTGGAAAACTGTTGATGAGCAGGTGAAGGAGTTGTTGCGGGCGCTGAGGGTCATGCGACCTGGCAGCGTGGGTGAGAAAAAATCAAAGGCTGCAGCTGTGGCAGCGAAAGTTAAAAAGTTGTGTGATAAGGAAGGAGTGAGAGGAGAAACAAGAGGTTCGTTGGCAAAATTGCTTTCGGGAATAGCACAGAAGCTCCAGGAAGAAGAGCAGGAGATTAGTACACAGTTAGAGGAGGCCTCTTTCTGGAGCAGGCGGAAACTCGGGAAAAAGTTGCAGGAAATTCAGGAGGAGAAAGCCCGTGTAACGAGGTGGGCTGTGACATGCCAGGGGGTGGAGCACTGGATGAGGGAGAGAAGGGAGGAGCCTGAGAAGCTGATGCTGCCGGCTTCTCCGGTGAAGTCATCGCTCACTGGTTTTCCCCCTCCCTATCAGGCCCCCGCCCCCCTTTACCCTGTGCTGAGGGTGGAGCAGGGCTGTCTCTCTGGTGAGAATGGCCAAGTTTTAGAAGTGACAGGAGGTTATGTGGATTGTGATATATCTAAAGAGCCCAAACGACCTACTCCAGCCCCGAAGAGTGAAAGAATAAAGCAAAGCTCCACTTTTGTTAATGAGGAGGGAGCTTGTGGCGGAGTGCAGTCACCGCCCATGAAACAGTCTCCCCAGCAGGTAGAGACTGAAGAAGAGCGGGCTGTGCGGCTGCTTGAAACAGCTATAATAACTCTAGAGCAGCGTCATCAAATTTCTGATGATGAGGCAGGTAGTGGAGTAGTTGTTGCACCACAGGTTGAGAAAGGTGAGGTGTGCGGGCCCGATGGGGACGCATACGAGGGCTGGTTATCCGGCACACTGGATGATAATACGCCAGTAAGTGTCTGGGAAAAGCAGAAATTAGATGCAGGGCCGGAGCTAGAGGGCCGGGGCCGGAGCTAGAGAAAAATCAGGAAGAGGCAGAGTAGTCAAGCCCAAACCTGCAAACAAACCACACCCCATGACGCGTCGGAGCCAGGAAGATAGGGACACTTTGTCTCTGCCGGGGACATTCCCCCTGGTGGTGACCGCTGGGGGTCACATGAAATACAAACCATACGGGGTGGGAGATGTAACTGCATTGACTGAGTTATTACCTCCTATTACGGACGGAGGTGCGGGGTGGTTGAGAGAGTTTGACAGAGCAACAACAGGTGTTCAACTGGCCCTAGGTGATTTCAGAGCTGTGGTGGCCAGATGTGTCAAAGGCACAGCACTGGATGACATAGAAAAAATAGCAGGTACAGCATTGATGGTTGATAACACCCCGTTCTGCCGTGTTGTGAATGAAATATCTCATGCATTACGTGAAAAATATCCCACTCCAAATGCTGCTAAGATTTTGAAGTTGTTGTGGAAGCCTGATCAAACTCCAAGGAAGTACATAGAACAGGCTAAAGCCACATGGGCCCTTAACACTGGCCAGCATCCTGGTAGAGAGGGGATGCAACAATTGTGGTTTAGAGACGCTGTGTTAAAAGGTGTGCCCGAAAGGGTCAGAGTGGCCATGACTGATAATCCCGACATGGAGGGGGCGGAGTCTCATGTGTGGGAGAAACATCTGGTGCATCGCCTGCAGACAGCTCATGATGAGGTTATGGCTAAAACTGAGGAGACAGATAACATGAAAGAGCAATTGTTGAAATTACAGCTGGGTGAAATGAGGGGAAAGGCAAATGACAAGAAAAAGGATGAAAAAATAGCAAAAGTAATGGTAGCTCAAGGTTTCCAGCAAATGGGGACTGATGTTGATCCTAATGCATTGCCAGTAGACACACCGGGACCGGTGTGTCTACTGGCGAGGCACAAATTGGGGTGGCCGTGGGTCGGTAGAGGAAATTGGGGTTCACGTGGTGGTCAAGGGGAGGAGGCGGCGGCATGGGTAGACAAAGGGGTGCGCTTAGAGGTCCGTACGTGCCAGGTACTGTGTGTTTCAACTGTGGTCAGACTGGACATTGGGTTCGAGAGTGCCCAGAACCACCTCAGCAGTTCAATACCAACATGCCACGTTCGGCCAGAAGGGGGCGTGGACAATGGTCGGCCCCCAACTCACAGATGGCTCCTCCAGGCCAGTATTCAGTGGAATACTGGCAGCAGGGACAATACTGACACACCCCACAGAGAGGCCTGGGCATAGGGGAGGGGCAGACCCCCTGGTGCCACTGAGGGTTCAAGGACGTAACCTGCCCTTTTTAGTGGACACAGGAGCGACGTATTCCACCATTCGTACGGCTCCTGACGACATCCCACTCACAGACACAAAAATCAGTGTTATCGGCTTCTCTGGGGTACCTATGACCTTGCCAGTGACCGTCCCTCTAAAGACGGAGTTAGGACGCCAGTCCTTAACACATTCATACATGATTTCATCACAAGTTCCAGTTAATCTGTTGGGCAGGGACCTGCTCATTAGCTTGGAGCTACTATCATGTGTGGAGCTGATGGATTAACAGTGACTTTGAAAGATGGCACACAGCTGTCCTGTTTGCAATCAGGAATGAGAGGACAGTGGCTGTTATCTGAGGATTGTGAACGCACAGCGCAGATTTACTGGGCGCGACTGACCACATCAGATGGAATTCTGGCACAGTACCAACTCTGGCGTCCCTGGATAATGTCCATGTCGGTTTACTCACCCTTGCGTGACCCCTACCACGTGACCTTGTTTTACGATCGCGAGCGCACTGAGTGGTTTGAGGAATTGTTTAATGAGTGTTTAGATGAGACAACTTGGGAGCTTAACTCTCAGGACATTTATGTTGGTACAGCTGGAGTGGCAGCGTTTGTTCCACTCCCTGAAGATAAAATGAGTTGGTATAGAATGGGGATGAAGCGGTTCCCCATGTGTCTTTGGCAGTGCACGAGGGTCATCAAGCAAAAGATTTAGGCCCCATGGTGAGAACAGCCACAAGGGCCACAGATTGGCAACAAACACAACTCACTGATGTCTCATACTCACCCAGTTGTAAAACATATCGAATTTCTGTGACTGCTACTGATCAGAGTGTGTTAGAACACAAACTTTTAAAGCGAACACATGGCAGGGAGAAATCTGATCATGAGGAAGCTGTTAAAGGCTTAACAGAACTCCCAGACACTCTGTGGTCTAAAGGTCCAACTGATGTGGGTTTAACATTTTGTTCACCCGTCACATTTGAGTTAAAGGATGACACCCCTATTTGGCGTTCACAATACAGACACAGCCCAGAGGCAGATAATGGGATTGCAGAAACTATTTCAGGGCTCCTGCAGGTGGGTGTGCTGGAGTCGTCTTCCTCTGCATGGAATACTCCGATCCTCCCAGTTGAAAAGTCAGGCACGGGCAAGTATCGCATGGCACATGACCTTAGGGCAATAAACGCTGTCCTTAAGACACAAACAGTACCTGTACCAAACCCGTACACAGCTCTGACTAATTTATCTCCAGATCAGCGGTGGTTCACATGCATAGATTTGGCAAATGCTTTCTTTTGTCTCCCTCTGCATCCATCCTTAAGAGATATTTTTTCATTTACTTACAGGGGCCAGCAGCTGCGTTACACACGGCTGCCGCAGGGTTTTGCCCTTTCACCTGGCATTTTCAATCAGGTACTTAAAAATGCTCTTTCTCCATGTGTATTACCTGAAGGATGCACACTGATCCAATATGTGGACGATTTGCTGATTGCCGCTAAAACAGCTGATGCTTGTTTTCAAGCGACAATGACTGTGCTTCGTCAGCTGGCTAAAACAGGCTTTAAAGTAAGTAGAGAAAAACTCCAACTTGTCAGAACTGAAGTTACATTTCTAGGTCGTGTGGTGGCGATGCAGACGGTGGGCATGTTGGCGTCCCAGAGGGAAACAATTATGTCACACCCCCAGCCACGTACAGTTAAAGAAATGTTGTCATTTCTTGGGCTCACAGGTTACAGTAGACACTACATTCCTGACTATGTGGGCAAAACCAAACCTTTGAGGGATTTGGTGAAAGAACACGGCATGAGAGATCTCACAGCTAATCTCAACTGGACCACTGAAGCTGAAATGCGGTTCATTGAATTAAAGCAGGCCCTGTCTCGTGCAGCAGATTTGGCAATCCCCGATTATAACTCTGATTTCTCAGTTGATGTTTCTGAAACAAATGGAGTAGTAAATGGTGTGTTGTTTCAGAAAAAAGGGGGAAAGAGACAAGTGCTGATGTATATCAGCATTGGCCTGGATAACACAGAAAAAAGACACCCCATGTGCACACAACATGCAGCAGGGGTAGCAAAAATAATTCAGAAAGTGGCTCACATTGTGAGAGGGCACCCACTGAAAGTGCTCACAACACACAGTGTGGTGGCCTATGTGAACTCACAGGTATTTACAATGACCCCACTGAGACAACAGAGACTGACTAAGATTCTGGAGTCTCCAAACTTGACCTTCACACATGAAGGGATTAACATGGCAGATCAAATGGGGGGGGGGGAACGCCTCATGACTGTACACAAATAGTAGAGGTTGAAGAGAAAGTAAGGTCTGATTTGAGAGCAGAACCGGTGAGTGAGGCAGATGATTATTTTACAGATGGATGTTGTTTTAGAGATCCGAGTGAAGGATTGAAAACAGGCTATGCAGTGGTGAAAGGAGTTGGAGACCAGCTGCTGGTGGAGAAATCAGGAACATTAGAAGGGCCTCAGTCAGCACAGAGAGCAGAGCTTATTGCAGTGATAGAAGCTCTGAGATTAGGGAAAGGAAAAAGAGTTAACATTTATACTGACTCAGCATATGTTTTTGGAGCAGCACATGTGGAGCTGGGGCAATGGAGGAGGGCTGGATTCAGAACAGCCACAAATAAACCGATCAAACATGAGGAGGAAATGAGACAGCTGGAGGACGCTCTGAAAGAACCTCTGGAGGTCGCTATCATAAAGTGTAAAGGGCATGACGAGTCTGACACTTGGGTGGCGAAAGGAAACAGAGCAGCCGACGAGGAAGCAAAACGGGCGGCAGGCTATAAGGAAGGAAAACAAATGGTAAGTATGGGTATGGAATGGGGAGACCTGCCAGCCCAACAGCGAGAGGACATCGAAAAGGCGCAAGGAGGAGCCTCACCCGAGGAAAAGGCGGTGTGGCAGGAAAGAGGGGCCGTACAATCAGAAGGATTGTGGAGAGGGCCCGATGGGCGGCCAGTGCTCGCAGCAGAAGTGGCCCAGGAGAAAATCAAAGAAGCTCATGGGCTAGGTCATGTGGGAGTGGCCCAGATGGAAAGGGATTTGTGTCATTGGTGGCATCCCTACATGAAAAACCTGGTAAGGGAACATGTGAGAACCTGCCTGATTTGTGGACAATACAATCCGAAGCCCACCGTGAAACCAGAAATGGGTAAGTTTCCTTTGCCAGAAAGACCAGACCAGGAAATTGTGATTGATTACACTGACATGATAACCACTGTTCGAGGGTTTAGATATCTGTTGGTGTGTGTGGATGGTCTGACTGGCTGGCCAGAGGCGTGGCCAACGCGCAGAGAGGATAGTAAAACAGTGATCAAATGTCTGGTGAATTATTATGTCCCCTGGCATGGATTCCCAGAGAAGGTAAGATCAGATAATGGCACTCACTTTAAAAATCGAGATCTCGCTGAGGTGGAATGTATGTTGGGGTTGCAACATAGATATGGTACAGTTTACCATCCACAATCTCAGGGAAAAGTGGAAAGAATGAACCAAAATCTTAAAAACAAATTGGCAAAAATCTGTGCACAGACCAACTAGGTGTCTGGGCAGAAGAGATAAAACCACATTCCTTACCCCCCTTCCTGCTTCACACAGAAAGACAGGGAGGCAAGGTCAGGAGCCAGGCTCGCTAAGAATTAGAAAAACATGTGAAGATGCAGCTTTTATGACAAAGAGGGGGCTGTGACTAGCTATAAAAGTCTGTGAAAGTTGCTACCATTTTGAGACATGCTGTCGAACCTCTGCAGGCATCTCTCCCGTCCGGACGTTGTAATGCTCTGACTGTTGAATTGTATGGAAATAAATGATTGTTGATTGAGCATTTATACACCGAGTATTGTCCTTCCTTCAGCCCAAAGATTCAAAGAATTGGGAGATTTCAACAGTCTTCAAGCAACTTAAACAAGTCCAGACGCTTTTCTTTGCAAGCTGATTTGACTACGATGACCTGGATGACTGAGAACCTTCACAGACATAATAAACACAAAGTTTTTGTTCTATAACATTTTTCTATCATTGCTTTATTATGGATTAGGTGCAAGAGTTGTTAAAATGTATAATTAAATAATAGATGAATTCAATAGCAAACTGTGCCTCGTTCTCAGATGGACAGCAAGTGGAATGTGATAGATGAGATGAGGAGATGGAAGGAAGAAGAGAGGCAAAGAGTGATTCACAGGCAGAGCTTAGTTTATTTCCCAGTTTTGTTGCCTTATGGTTCCAAGCGCCGTGACCAATCTTTGCGTTTTATTATTATCTCATAACACTTGTTTAATCAGCTACCCTCTCTCCTGTGGACTGTTTAATCTCTACAGTCTCAGATCAACACAGCCCTGCCCTCCAGCACTATCAGCAGCAAGAGCAGAAGCAACCCCCCAAACAGCAACATTGTACCCATCAGGTAAAAAATGGGCTACGTTTGCTTTGCATTGTGCCCACCTGATGACAGTGATGTAGTGTGATGTGATTCCATATTAGATTCTTGATGAATGTGGGTTGTTGTTCTTCAGCCTGCTTCTATGTGCCCTTTTTAACTGTGAGCACCCGCCCCTTTAAACATCTCTGCACTGCCCTGACTAAATGTATATATAAACTGTCTCTATGGTTTACAGTCTGAGTCTGACAAGCTGTCAGCTGTTCATTTCTGCTATTTGAATTGTTAAAAGAAACAAACTATTCATTTAGCAGATTAACAAAAAGAATAGAGAGGCATCCAGTTATTGACATTTATATTATTTAGTTAAAGGTTTGAACAGAAAAACAATTAAACACAGAGCCTCTTCCTGCTTTCTGGAATGAATCGCAGCATGAAAACCCTTCCTCTTCTTCCTGCTCTCTAGCTCAGCACCTCCTGTCTGTCCATATCGTTCTGTGTTCCCTCCCCTTTAGATCTACATTATGAAGATGGGTGTAACCAACATGTGTTAGAGCTGGCAGGCCCCATTCACAGCAGCAACACTTGTTGTTCAGATCAGACCAGTTTCTATATTAAGGAAGTGAAACTTACACAGTCACTGACACTGAGAGGAGAAATGGCGCAGAAAAGTGTTCAGCTAGACCGAGAAACCTTCTCTTGTTCGATCTGTTTGGATCTACTGAAGAATCCGGTGACTCTTCCCTGTGGACACAGCTACTGCATGAACTGTATTGAAAGCTTCTGGGATGAAGAGGAAAAGAAGAAAATCTACAGCTGCCCTCAGTGCAGACAGACTTTCACAGCGAGGCCTGTCCTGGTGAAAAGCACCATGTTAGCAGTTTTAGTGGAGGAGCTGAAGAAGACTGGACTCCAAGCTGCTCCTGCTGATCACTGCTATGCTGGACCTGAAGATGTGGCCTGTGATGTCTGCACTGGAAGAAAAATGAAAGCCTTCAAGTCCTGTTTATTCTGTCTGGCATCTTACTGTGAGAAACACCTTAAGCCTCATTATGATGTTGCTCCATTAAAGAAACACAAGCTGGTGGAGCCCTCCAAGAAGCTCCAGGAGAAGATCTGCTCTCGTCATGATGAGGTGATGAAGATGTTCTGCCGTACTGATCAGCAGAGTATCTGTTATCTCTGCTCTGTGGATGAACATAAAGGCCACGACACAGTCTCAGCTGCAGCAGAAAGGACTGAGAGGCAGAGAGAGCTGGAGGTGAGTCGACAAAACATCCAGCAGAGAATCCAGGACAGAGAGAAAGATGTGAAGCTGCTTCAACAGGAGGTGGAGGCCATCAATCAGTCTGCTGATCAAACAGTGGAGCACAGTGAGAAGATCTTCACTGAGCTGATCCATCTCATCCAGAAAAGAAGCTCTGATGTGAAGCAGCAGATCAGATCCCAGCAGGAAACTGAAGTGAGTCGAGTCAAAGAGCTTCAGGAGAAGCTGGAGCAGGAGATCACTGAGCTGAAGAGGAAAGATGCTGAGCTGAAGCAGCTCTCACACACAGAGGATCACATCCAGTTTCTACACAACTACCCCTCACTGTCAGCACTCAGTGAGTCTACAGACTCATCCAGCATCAATATCCGTCCTCTGAGCTACTTTGAGGATGTGACAGCAGCTGTGTCAGAGGTCAGAGATAAACTACAGGACATTCTGAGAGAGCAATGGACAAACATCTCACTGACAGTCACTGAAGTGGATGTTTTACTGTCACGACCAGAGCCAAAGACCAGAGCTGGATTCTTAAAATATTCACGTGAAATCACACTGGATCCAAACACAGCAAACAAACAGCTGTTATTATCAGAGGAGAACAGAAAAGCAAAATTTATGAATCAACAACAGTCTTATTCTGATCATCCAGACAGATTCACTGGATGGCCTCAGGTCCTGAGTAGTGAGAGTCTGACTGGACGTTGTTACTGGGAGGTGGAGTGGAGAGGGAGAGGAATTTATGTAGCAGTCGCATACAAGAACATCAGCAGAAAAGGTGGTAATGAATGTTTATTTGGATGGAATGACAAATCTTGGTCATTAGATTGTAACATCAACAGTTTTACATTTTGGTACAACAACATCAAAACTCGTGTCTCAGGTCCAGAGGTGTGGACTCGAGTCACATGACTTGGACTCGAGTCAGACTCGAGTCATTAATTTTATGACTTTAGACTTGACTTGAAAAAATGTTCTAAGACTTGTGACTTGACTTGGACTTTTACACTATTAACTTGGGACTTGAATTGGACTTGAACCGATTTACTTGAAAAGACTTGATATTTTACCCCAAATATAAAATTTAACATGCATATTATCAGTGTTGGGGAGTAACGGAATACATGTACCGCCGTTACGTATTTAGAATACAAAATATGAGTAACTGTATTCCGTTACAGTTACCGTTTAAAAAGGTGGTATTCAGAATACAGTTACTTTGTTGAAATAAATGGAATACACTGGGGTACTTTCCTGTTTCATTTTGTCGCGGGTCAGGACTGTTTGGGTTTTGTTTGACAGCTACGTTCTTTTGTTCCAGGCGGCAGCGTTACGGTTGCCATGGTTACAGGGCGACGCTCTCTCTCTCTGCGACTGTGTGTTTCCTGGGTGAGAGAGCGCCTTTTCGTTGTTGTTGTGCTAAGCTAACAGGCAGAATGCTACAAGCATAGCTCTAAAGAATGTAGCATCATGTTCAGTGTAGTCCGTGCTGCTGGGAGAATGGACTGCCATACACGTTATGTGTCTGTGAGCGCTAGGAGGGAGAAAAAGGGGAGTGGAAAGGTACGAGCAGTCATCGAGGAAAAACGGGAGCTGGAAGCATGTAAATATAATAATAACCACTTCAGCCAAGAAGAGAGCCTGACGAGCCCAGTTGTAAGTAAGCTATTAAGACTCGACTGTACACTGTGTTCGTGTTTTCCTCCGAAAACAACAAGTTCCGTTGGAGCAGCCTTTCAACGCCTCTCTCTGTCTATCGCAAGAAAAGTTGACCCACACAACAAAGTAGAGCTATTTTTCGGCTACCAGCCGACAGGGACCCCGCCGTATTATGCTGGGCTTACACTGTGCGATTTTTTCAGTCGCGCGATTCAGCTCCTGCTCAAACTGTACGATTGACTCGCAGGGGTTAGAAGTTCATAGGTCACGATGCAGGGTCTCACACTATACGGCCCGATGCTCTGATGCGACCTGAGTGCTCACACTGTGCGTCCATAAAAATGAAGGTTATAACAGAAATTCTGTCGCTCGCTCTCCCTCTCCGTCTTTCACTCACACAGACACACCACCACCATCAACTTTGCTAAATTGCTAATGAAAAACATTGGTCAGGCAGCTGTGATTGAGCAGCAGTGTCGATCCAACTATTTTCACGGTTGTTGTGGTCGTGATAATTTTGTGAGGCCACATCGAAAGGGCTCGGATGGTTCTACAGGTTGTGCCTCCCTCGCTTGTGTCCAGATCACACGCTGCACTGCTGTGCTACGCCGTCTTTTTCGCTGACATTTGTGTTTGCGCGTGCGCAGTGTGGCAAACTGCGGTGACACCCTCACGACCAAGCGATTGATGATCGGGAGCTGGTCGTGAGGTGTCAATCGCTTCTCGTTACCCCACGTATACTACACGATGCACGACGCACGATGAAGGCCAAAATCGGGCCGATCGCCAAAACGATCGCACGACTCAAAAATCGGCTCAAAATGGGCCAAAAATCGCACAGTGTGAGCCCAGCATTAGTCAGAGGTCCCTTTACTACAGTTCGGAGTCGCGGACCTTCAGTAATAGTAATAAATCACACAGCAATAGTACATTCACGTTGTTGTAAAAAGCATGATAATATTGTAGCGGGTCAGGGCTGTTCGGGGTTCTGCTTGTACAGTTATGTTTTGTGTATGTTGCCATGGTGACGGGTGACGCCCTCTCGCTGCGACGGTGTGTCCTTCCGGGGTCAGAGGGCGCCCTATGTGTGTTGTGGTTGCCACGCTGAGCAGTTAGCTAGTGGCAGTGTGTTCTTCTGCAAATGTTATAAACGGCTGTGCTCCCTGGCTAGCTCACGGGAAGCAAGACCAAACGATACCTCCGTCTCCTCCTTGTCTGAACTCGCCACAATATATTAAGTAATCCAAAGTATTCAGAATACGTTACTGTCATTGAGTAACGTAACGGAATAGGTTACAGAATACATTTTGGGGCATGTATTCTGTATTCTGTAATGGAATACATTTTAAAAGTAACCTTCCCAACACTGCATATTATATAGAGATTGAAAATGTGACGTCATTCACGGGTAGAACCGCAAAGGATTCTGGGAACTCGTGGCAAGCGGTACTAGCTCACGCAGGCTTTCAATTAAAATCAGTCACACAGCGATAAAAAGAAACACAAAAATGTCAAGAAGCTGTTGTATTATTAACTGCAATAGCCGGTCGCATGACAGCCACGGGAAGCCGACGGGTAAAGAGATCGGTTGTTATCGGATTACGTCGTTGAAGAGAAATTGTTCGAGCCATGTTTCCGAAGTAACAGACGCGACGGATGGCCTGGATTGCAGCCATTCAAAGATCAAATATAACGTCCCAGAACCCTCCAGCTCACAGGTTAATGCTCCAAGCATTTACACGAAGGTCAGTGTTTTTTAGTAGTTAATACGTCATTTTTCTTAACATAATTGGTGATATAGGTTACAAGCAAGTCTGGCGCTGAACAGAAATTGTCGCGCTATGCTCCTTTATTTATTGTGCATAAATAGTGAATTGTCCTGACACAATATTGCGTTTCGCTTCTGTTATTATGGTACATTGACAAAAACATATACTTTTATTCACAGGATAAAACAGGTTTTTTGTATCACTAATTGCCCAGTACGATTACAGCATACAATATTATTGTCACTGCTACATTTCTGTGATGGGTACCAGAAATTATTTCCACTACTAATTAATTACCGTTGAGCTCAAAGGTCCTATTAATAAACGGTTAAGGAATGTGTATTTATGACGACAATTTGTGAGACTGGTAAACTTATGATATGTACGATGGTCTTTCGTTCTACACGGTGCATTTCAAGGTCCTGCACCCATCCGTCGGTAAACTGTACCTGGGCTTGTTGCAGTGACCTGAAGTTACTAAACTTCATGAGTGTATGCACTCACTCCAAGAACCGTATGATTATAAATATGCATATATTATGCTAAGATGAGATAGCTGACTTCATCTAACTAGCAAATGTTGTCCAGGCTACGTTGGTGATACAGTTTTTTTTAATGTGTATGATATTTTTGTCATGCGATTTTAAAGCCGGTCCTACAACCGCATCCAAGAATAACATGCAGCTTATCTCAGAACTGTCGGTGAAAATTATTATTGGAGCTAGGTTTAATTGAGCTGCATTTTAAAGAGGTGCAATTTTACAATTTGTGTATATTTTCTAAGTTCACTATTTTGTCATGTGTTGAGAAAAACACAGATTTTAAAATTACATGGTCTAATATTTACATTTAGCATAACTGCAACATTATTTTTTCGTTTTTTTTTTTTAAAGACTCGAAAGGACTTGAAATTCAAAGTTTTAGACTTGTGACTTGACTCGGACTTTTACACCAGTGACTTGAGACTCGACTCTGACTTGCCTGACATTACTTGAGACTTGACTTGAGACTTGAGGATAAAGACTTGAGACTTACTTGAGACTTGCAAAACAATGACTTGGTCCCACCTCTGCTCAGGTCCTCGTTCCTCCAGAGTAGGAGTGTACCTGGATCACAGAGCAGGTATTTTGTCCTTCTACAGCGTCTCTGAAACCATGACTCTCCTCCACAGAGTCCAGACCACATTCACTCAGCCGCTCTATGCTGGACTGATGCTTTACTGTAATTATGGAACCACTGCTGAGTTGATTAAAGTGAAATAGACTGAAGTCTTTCATATTGTTGTAAGTTTAAATCTGTATTTTAGTTCCCTTTTAGTTTCTCTCCATCATTATTGTGGTATTTATGTGCTGCACATAAATCAGATGTCAGTCAAACATTATGGGCAGTACCTCGACATCTTCAACATGTTGTCTTGATGTTTTTACGTTTTATAGGTGGAGCTCTTTCCTGTGTCTGTTCAGCCATGGAGACTATCAATGCTTATGGATATTTTTATTTGAAAAATTTCTCCACATGACAACATAAACTTCTCTATCTTCTAAATGTTTACTGAATATTTTTCTTAGGTATTTGTATGTTGTTGTTTCTCTTCACTGATCTTAACAGAGAAGTCTACAGACCTTCCTTTATCACACAGATTTTATTCTCATTTGTACATTTATAAAGAAAACAATTAATTACAGAGCAATAAGAAATTTTAAGAAAGTGCACTATATCATAATTTATAGTAAAGTGTATTAAAGCATCGTTAGTTAGTCACTTATTTAGTTTGGAGCTGTATCATCTGACACTGTAGAAACATTTCCTCCAGCTTCAGCACAGAATGTTAAAAACAGAACTATTAATGAGAACAAACAGTAGGAACACAGTATCAGCAAACATCATGGCTTAAAATGGAGAGTAAAAATCTAAAAAGAAATAAACAAATTAGTAAAAAGGATTTCCTGTTGACATGTTATTGGTCCTATCTTGTCTGCAGCACCTCCAGGATGCTTCTTATATGTTTCTGGTTATTTTTGCACCAATTTTAGTTTTTGTCAGTAGGAAGTTCAAGTTCAACTCAGTGTGTTTGTTTGTTTTTTTCAAACTGATGCCTGACCTTGAACACCAAACATCTGTCAATAAAGCAATGATATAAAATGCTTATATTAGTACTGAAAAACTGCATATCCACTTTACAAATATAAATAATGATATAAATCCACAGCTGAACTGGAGGAGCAGCTGATCTAGTTCACTCATGTGTTTCTGGACTAAGAGTTGGAGCAAATACCTTATGATTCAGTGATGTTTGTTTTTGTTCAATATTTTGTAGATCCAAGAGTGAGTTTGACTCATGATGATGATGTTCCGAATTAAACAAAGTTGGTCACAAATTCTTCAAAGCTGTTTATTAAGAATATATTCACTTGGACTCATGAGACAGGCTTGTGATCCAAGGGAGCCATCAACTGGACAATTACTGACATGACAACAAAAAAGCTAAGTACAGAGGGGGGAACAG